CCTCAGCCTGCCTCAGCATCAGCCTGCCTCAGCCGCAGCCTCAGCCTGCCTCAGCCTCAGCCTCAGCCTGCCTCAGCCTCAGCCTCAGCCTGCCTCAGCATCAGCCTGCCGCAGCCTCAGCCTTAGCCTGCCTCAGCCTCAGCCTCAACCTGCTTCAGCCTCAGCCTCAGTCTGCCTTCAGCCTCGGCCTCAGCCTCAGCCTGCCTCAGCCTCAGCCTGCATCAGCGCCAGCCTCAGCCTCAGCCTGCCTCAGCCTCAGCCTGCCTCAGCCTCAGCCTCAGCCTGAGCCTGCCTCAGCCTCAGCCTGCCTCAGCCTCAGCCTCAGTCTGCCTCAGCCTCAGCCTGCCTCAGCCTCAGCCTCAGCCTCAGCCTCAGCCTCAGCATCAGCCTGCCTCAGCCTCACCCTCAGCCTGCCTCAGCCGCAGCCTCAGCCTGCCTCAGCCTCAGCCTCAGTCTGCCTTCAGCCTCGGCCTCAGCCTCAGCCTGCCTCAGCATCAGCTTGCATCAGCCCCAGCCTCAGCCTGCATCAGCATTCAAAATGTGGCCCGGGAAATTGAATTCTGGGAACTCGAAGAACACGAAGTAGCCTACAGTTGGCTCCGGGCATTCAAAATCATGCCCAGGAATGGAGTTCTGGGAACTCGAAGACCACGAAGTAGCCTACAGTTGGCTCCCGGCATTCAAAATCATGCCCAGGAATGGAGTTCTGGGAACTCGAAGACCACGAAGTGGCCTACAGTTGGCTCCGGGCATTCAAAATCATGTCCAGGAGTGGAGTTCTGGGAACTCGAAGACCACGAAGTGGCCTACAGTTGGCTCCGGGTATTCAAAATCATGCCCAGGAATGGAGTTCTGGGAACTCGAAGACCACGAAGCGCGCTACTATTGGTTAAAAAATGACGAGCGAACAACTCACACCCATACCCATAGAAGGGTCGAAAGGAGGGGAACTGGCTATGGGTATGGGTGCGAGTTGTCGGACCCTGGGGGAAGCTCCCGTTCGAGCGGGGACCCCCATCCGACAACACGCACCCATAGCTTCCTCCGTCCCCTCTATGGGTATGGGTGCGTGTTGTTCGATCGTCAAAAAAGCAGTCCCCGGATTCCCGGGGCACCCGTCTGGCATCTGCCCAGACCCCCCTGGGGAGTCATGATGCTCTCTTTTGACCCCACTAGAAACCTATCAGTCTTCGCTGTTAGGTAAAAGCGTGCACTCCGACGGGCGGAACCACGGCCATATTTGCATCTTAGTGTTAAGTCGGGCCTGTCCCTCTACGGGAGGAATCTTCAAACATAGTAAAAACAGAGTCTGGGGACGACTATGGTTTTTAGTATGTTTGATTATGTTTTGACTCTTTCCGGGTACTTGTAACTTTTCGTCCAAAATCCGCCCGTGGGGGAACATGCCCGACCTGACCTTAGTGTATGGTTTACCTGGGACCGCGGGCGTTCGTACGACACATGCAGCCTGCACTGATGCGAGAGCACGGTTTCCGAAGAAATTGTGGGGAAGTCTGAGGCGAAACGATTGCCGGACTACGGTCCCGCTGATGATTGAGAAATTTCCCCCCAGAAAGCTGGGCCAGCGTTTCTTAACCAACTTGCCGGAACGCTGGCTCCGCTTCTTACGGGAATTGGTAGCCTTGGATCCTAGAAATGAGTAGTGTACGCTCCTGGCTCCAAAGGTTGGCCTAGCGTTTCCTTAATACACTTCTGAAAAGCTGGCCCAGCGCGCTTAATTGATAATTTTCTTATTCGCATTTTTGACTGTAGGCGTTCTATGCCTCCTCCCGCCCCCGTTGTGGCCATCTTCTTTGGTCTTTACTCACGACAACGACGACCCTGTAGCGAATCGCTAATGTGTACAGATTTGCCGAGTCTCTCCCCATTCGGCAGCAGCTCATGGGAGGTTGAATTCAGCATTGACGCTGGTATATCCCTGGTCTAAAACTGGCCGAATCAGGCTGAATTCCGTTGAAGCGTGGTTCAATCCCGTTCAATCTGGCCTACGTCCACTTATGGCCTTCTTGCTCAGCCCCTGTCTCATATTCGGCCTAATCTCTGTGGCCTCAAAACCCGACTTTAGCTATAGCCATTAACCGCTCTGACGAAGACCTCCCATTGGGATGACCGCGGGGGTTGCTAAGTGGAAAGGGGGATTATAAGCGGATGGCAAGGTGACTCATTAGATGGTCCAGCATGATTTATGTTTGAGTTGGAAGCGCCCTAGGTGGCTTATGGGGGTAAGGATCCAGGCTAAGTAGGCTCCGAAACCCACTCAGGCCATTCAGGGCACTGTGGGCCCACATAGAGACTAGGTTCGGCCCGATATGACCCACCTTCGCATCTATTTGGCGAGTAGGGGATCGACTACATATTTGATGTACCTTACTTGTTCCGTCGAACCAGCGAAGAAATGCGTAGACTGCTCCGTATATCTAAGAACATTATACGCACTGCTCGTAAGCTCGACGAACAAACAACTTTGGGGGTAAATCATTTCTTCATTCAATTTCCCATTCGAACTTATAACCCCCTAGCAACCCCCGCGGCGATCCGAGCAGGAGTTGCCTCAGACGCCCGGATCCTCCTTCTTCAGTGAAGGGGCCCAGGAGTGGACACAATTTCCTAGGATTTCCTCCATTGTCCCATATTCTATGGAGTTCCGTCTTCCCCTCCACTTCCCATACGGTAGGTCCATGCGGCGATTGCGCGCTGGCGATGCCGGCGAAGGAGTTAAAGGTTGAATTCTGCGACGCGGCAGCACCGAGGGACACGGTGACACCGCTGGACCAGACGGAATTCAACCTGGAATGATCGGGGCCGCGATCGGTTCAAGGTTGAACGATCGACGTGGTGTCAGCAACCAACCTAGACGTCATCGCCGCGCAAACCTGCAGTATTTTCCCCAAGTTTCCTGGGGATCGACGATTCATTGTGTTTGTCGGTCTTTTTTGGTTGATCCAAAAGGGGGTCCAGCGAAAAGGGCGCGGTGCAAAAGATTTGGTGCAATGGATTTGTGGGGTTGAAGTTGACTTGGGACGTGCAATACATTCCGGTGCCCAAATGTATTGCTGGCCTTTCGCGTGCAATGCATCAGTTGCAGTACAATGCAGCACAGTTCTCCGGCGCAGTACACTTGTAACACACTAGTCCCAAATTTGTTGCACCACCCCCTTTGAGCTGGACCCCCTTTTGGGTCGACCGAGCTCCCTCCCCAGACCCCCGACGTCCTGACTTTTCCATGCCGCGACCCCCAGAGGTCTGGAGACCCCTTCCCCGGCACCGGCTTCTCCTCCCGAGTCGACTCCTGACGGCCCCCCGAGGCCCCGTGAGGGCCCCCCGAGGCTGAAAGCAGTGAAGAGCCCCCCCGTCGTGCTCTTTCCGCAGCGCGGGGGGGTCTGGGCTTGGGGGTCGACCAAGCTCGCTCAGGAGCGACGGGCCGCCCCCGCGGGCGCACGGCCGGGCCCCGCGGCCCGCCGCGGCGCCGCCGCGCCGCCGGGCGCCGAGCCCGCCGCGGCGGCGTGGCCGCCGGCGGCGGAGGCGGGGCCGCTTCCGGCCGTGGTGGAGCCCGTGGTGCTCGGGCCGGAGGAGGGCCCGTGGCCGCCCGAGGACTCGAGCACGAGAGGAGGGAAAGTCGAGCAGTCGAAGCGTCCTGGCTCGCCTGCAGGCCTACCCCAGAATGTTCTAGGAACCTCTTTTTTGGTCTCCACGAACTGTTCTTAGAACATTTCTGGCTGGGGCTGTCTTGTTTTAGCACATCCGGTCTTTGTTCTACTAACATTGATTTTGTTCTAAGAACACTTCTGGGTTCTAAGAACATTTCGTGGTGGGCCTACGGGAATGCCGGGACGGTCGGTCCCTGCTCAAGAGGACAGGAGCATGTGAGGAGGGAAATGTGCCCATACCCATCGGTCGTTGCAAGTGGGCATTTGTGGAGTCTCCCAGATCCCAATCTGCTTTAGAAGTGCCTTCCTGCTTCAACGATCGGGGGCGGGCGGACACGGCGGACCCCCAATCTACTTTCAGCGCCTTCCTATTTCATGCTTCGACCTACTTCTTCCGACCGATGGGTAACCCCATGCCGCGGATAATAAAGTACCCCCCCTTAAGTCGTTAGAGTTTTTTGATCGTCGGCCTAGAAGGGTTTCAAAGATAGGCGGAGGGCGCGGAGGCCAAACTTCATTATCACTGGGAAAGTTCGCCATCGAGGTTACTTCCTTCTCATGTTGAGATAACAACATCAAGCGAAACGAACACGTTTTTTCTTTCTATTTCTCTCTTACTATTTATTTCTCTCTCTCTCTCTCTCGCTCTCTCTTCTTCTTTTTTTTCTCTCTCTCTCTCTCTATCTCTTTCTCTCTTTTTCTTTGTGCTGCGTTCTGTTTCTCTCTCTCTCTCTCTGTCTCTGTCTCTCTCTCTCTCTGTCTTTCTTTCTCCTCCTCCCTCTGGCGCCCTGAACTTGTTTATCGCTTGGGTTGGTTATCCTGGGAAAACTAAGCACATGAGCTACCCTACACGAGCAGATGAACATTTCAATTTTCTTTAAGCGTTTACAAATTAAATATACTAAGTTTTCAACATTGGATTGTTGCTTCTACCTCCTGCTCTGCTTCTCCTGCTCTTCCTCCTTCTCATCCTTCTCCTCTTCCTTTTCTTCTTTCTTTATATTTCTCTTTCTATTTTTTTTTCTTCTTGTCTCCCTGGCCCCCTGAACTTGTTTATCGCTGGGTATGATTATCCAGGGAAAACTAAGCACATGAGCTACCCCTACCCGAGCAGATGAAAACTTTATGTTCCATTAAGGGCTTACAAATTAAATCTAATAAGTTTTGAACTTTGGATTTTTGCTTCCTCGTTCTTCTCTCCTCCTCTTGCTCTTTCTCCTCCTCGTTGAGGATGTCTCAACCGAGGCAAATCATTGTTGAGGATGTCCCATAGAGGACCAAAGACCAAGGATCCTCAAGATATCTTGGGCTTTTTCCTCTTGATATCTCTTTATGCTGGCTCTGGCGGGCAACTTTTATTATCTCCCCGAAAACCCCGAACTTTATTATCCCTGGGTGTTTATTATCCGCGGCATGGGGTTACCTCTACCCCTCCCTCGTCTTCCCCTTGTTTGGGCCTCCTCGGAGGCCCTCGTCGCCACCGCTGGATTCGCCCCGAAATCCTGGTCAGAACGCACCACGGGAGAGGTCTGGGGAGTAGCGGTATCGCTATCTTTCGGTTTCCCCAAGGAGGGCCCTTGGCTGCCCGAGGACTCGAGCAGTGGTGAAGCGTTCTGGCTTGCTTGTATCGCGAACTCAGAACTCTTCGGGTTCAGAACAAAAATGCGGTGGACAGTTGTTTGTTATTTTCGGCCTCTGGGGGCCCTCACTGGGCCTCGGTCGGGGCCGTCAAAAACTGATTCGGGATGAAAACCGGTCCCTGGGAGTGGGTCCGGACCTCTCGGGGTCGCGTCATGAATTAGTCATGACGTCGGGGGGTTTGGGAAGCGTCCTGGCTTGCCCATATCGGATCGGAAACCGGAGCATATACACTTCCAGAGGCGGGCTGTTGTTCCATCCCTGGACTTTCTTGAGGGTCGGGGACGACGTCGGGGTGGTGTCGTGTTTACTTGTTTGTTCCAGTTTCCGAGGAAACTGCGAAAAAATGAAAAAGCAGGGTCCCGTATACACCAGGATCCGCTTTCCTATGCAAATTTCAGTACAGGGCCAGAACATCGTCTAGGCCTCCTAGACGGGTCGGAGTAGATGGGGTCGGAGGATTGCGCCGCATCACCGATGCATCGCCGATGCGGCCCGCTGTGGGGCCCGATTTGCTTCACGTCGACGTCGCTGATGCGTCGCCGGTGCATCCCCGCTGCATCGCCGATGCATCGCCGGTGCATTGGCGATGCGGCGCGATCCTCCGACCCCATCTCATCCGACCCTATCCATAAGGCCTCTGAGGAGGGCCCGTGGCCGCCCGAGGACTCGAGCAGTTGCGAAGTGTCCTGGCTTGCCTATAGGCCTCCCAAAGTGGTATGCAAGAAGTGTTCTCAGAACATTTCTGGCTGAGCCCGTCTTGGGCTCTTACTTCTTTAAATCCAGGAACACTGGTTTTGTTCTCAGAGTATTATTTTGCTCTGCGAACCTTTCTAGGTCTGTAGGCATGCCGGGGCGGTCGGTCCCTGCTCAAGAGGACGCCGCGCTGCTGCAGGAGGGCCTCGCCAGGGCGCCGCCGCCCGAGGTGCGATGGACAGACGACGGCGACGACGGCGACGACGACGACGACGACAACGACGACGACGACGGCGGTGGCGGTGGCTGCGACGACGTCGCCGCGGCGTCGGCCCAGCGGCGGCGGCGACGGCGACGACGGACGACGACGGCGGCGACGACGATGACGACGACGACGCCGACGGCGGCGACGGCGGCGACGCCCACGATGACGGCGACGACGGCGGCGACGAAGACGACGACGCGGCCGCCGAGGGCGCCCTGCTTCAGCTGCAGAACGCCGAGCTCCTGCACGAGCTGGTTGAGGCGCATGCCACCGGTGCATCGCTGCTCGAGGAGCAGGCCTCGGGCGAGGAGAAGATGCCGATGCCGCTGCGGACGACGGACGACGACCACGACGACGACGACGACGACGACGACGACGACGACGACGACGACGACGACGACGACGACGGCGGCGGCGTCGGCGGCGGGGACGGCGGCGGTTGCGGCGGCGACGGCGACGGCGACGACGATGACGACGGATACGACGACGACGGCGACGGCGACGGGCGAGGAGAGCATGACGATGCCGCTGCCCATCCCTCGCCACCACGGCTGGATTCGCCTCGCAGTCCTGGGCATCACGCGCCACCAGAGAGGTCCCTGGCGTGGCGGTGTCGGTACAGGATCCGGCTTGAATAAGGAACACTTATTTTTCAAAAGGGGCTCGGTCGTTCCTTCGGTTTGCAGACGTCCCGCTACTTTTTTGGCGGCGAGCCCCCCTGGTGTTCCTTCGGACCTCGAAGACTTGCTTGGAACAAAATGGGGCTTCATTCCTGATTTATCGTCTCTTCGGCCAGGCCGACACACTGTACTCTTTCCCCCCCCCCCAGGTCAGGCTTCAGCGCCAGAACGCCGAGCTGCGGCGCCTCCTGAACGGCACGAGGAGCGCCGCGGCCAACGCCACGGGCGGCAACGCCACGAGCCACGGCGGCACCCCGGAGATCCAGCTCCCGGCCCAGAAGCACAAGGCCCTGGCGATTGCGGCCATCTGCCTCGGCATGGTCCTCCTCTGCGCGGGCCTGTGCCTCTGCGCCCTGAAGGTCGCGCACCATAGGCACCTCGCGCAGAGGCAGCGCGCACGCCTCGCGCGCGGGCAGCCGCCGGGCCCTCCGGTGCAGGCCAGCGCGGTGGCCGACGCGTTCGACGGCTGCGCCGAGTGCTGTGGGGTCTTCTGCAGCGCCCAGCTGTGCGCCACGGCGACCGTCGTCGTCGTCCTGTGGGGCGGAGGCCTTCAGAGGAGCAAAGTGCACCGATGCCGCTGCTCGTCCCGGGCAGCTCTCGTCGCCAGGGCTGGATTCTCCTCGACATGCTGGTCAGAACGCGCCCCAGGAGAGGTCCGGGGAGCAGCGGTATCGGTACCCGTTCGTCCCCCCAGGCCTGGCTGTCATGTGGTTCACCGGGAGCCTGCAGCCCGTGCTGAAGGAGGTGGGTGTTTACGCGTACCTGGGCCTCGGCATGGTCGGCGTCGTCCTGATCGTGCTCGCGGGCGTGGTCATGAACGCCAGGGCTGAGATGCAGCAGGCGCCCACGAGCGACGGACGCATTCAGAATTACCCATGTCCTCGCAGTCTGGATACTGAGATGCGGCCTTCGCTGTTAACACAAACGCTGAGGGCATTTGTGTATGTGTCTGTTTCTTGTTTGTTGTTTGATGTGTGTGTGTGTGTGTTGTTTTGAGTCGTTGCGTTTCCAGGTTGGTGTTGGTAAGTCATAAAAGAATCACGACTGGAGGTTGTTCGTTACTTTCGGCCTTTGGGGGCCCTCACCGGGCCGTCAAAACCGACTCTGGACGAGAAACCGGTCCCGGGCAATGGGTCGAGACCTCTGGGGGTCGACGTTATGACAGAAATCATGACGTCGGGGGTCTGGGTCTACAGTTGCCCCTCTCGGCTCAGATACCGGAGATACGCAGTCATAAGTGGCTGGACAGCTGCGAGGGATGAAACCTTACTATCGCTGTCACCCTTCCTCTGCCTATGGATCTCCTTCGGACGGACGGTTCGGCCCTTCGGTTATCTATCTCCGTACACAAAGGCGGAGGGGGTAGGCCTTCTCGGAAGGCACAGCGGGACCTCTGAGAGCCCCTCTCGCCGTCTGCGAAGCCGCCTGGAACGAACGAGCGAACGAGCCACCACAGCGGACAGCTGCGCGTGCCTGCTGGGACCTGGTGGGCGAGGCCAGAGCCTCCTGCAGACATACACGCGTGCGTTGGTACCCATCGGTCGTTGGAAGTAGGTCTTTTTGGTTCCCCAGATTCCAGCATACTTTAAGCGCCTTCCTCTTTCAATGATCGAGTGGCTTCACCTTTTTTCGTCCTCCTCAGGGGGCGTGCGGACACCCAATATATTTTCAACGCCTTCCTACTTCATGCTTCTACCTGCTTCTTCCGACCGATGGGTATTGCGAGACATGCAAAGAGTTCTGCATTTGTGGGGTGCCTTCAGGAGCCCCGCCGAACCCTGAGATCTGGGCGTTGCCGATTTTCCACACCCGGCGATTTTGCCCGGTTGCGGGCCCCGGGAGCCTCACAGACCGATCTGGCTCGAAACGTGCAGCAGACAGATGGGGTCGACGGCTCCCGTGGTGATTCCTTCGCGCAGTTGCCATCTTTTCGCGCCGCCGGATCTCGACGGCCACAGATGGTTACTCCGGCGACTCGAGAGCTTTCGAGAAACCCCGCCGCCTTCTGAGAAGGGCGGCCCCCTCTGCCTTGCCCCCCTCGGCGCGCCGCCGAGGTGTCGCAGTCCGTCCAGTGGACGTCGGGCAAGCTGCAGACCGTCTTCGGGGACAATCCCCGCCCGCGTAGGTAGGCTGTCTGTATGGGGTCGAGGCAGGCGTCCCTCTGCGCTGCCGAGCGAGAGAGATTGAAGCCTGCGCTCTGCCGGGCCGAAGCCGCCGCGGCCCACGGCGTGTTGGTCTGGGCCGCTGGCCGCACCCCGCCGGCCGGCGGTGCCCTGGCCCGGTCTGTGCGGGTGGGGGGGAGGGGGGGGAGGGAGCAGGAGGGCGGGGCAGGGGGGTGGGGTGGGGGGGGGGAGCGAGGGGGGGGGAGGAGGTGGAACCGCGGCGGGAGGGGGAGAAGGAGAGCGCGGCGCGGGATGATGATGATGATGATGATGATGATGATGATGATGATGATGATGATGATGATGATGATGATGATGATGATGATGATGATGATGATGATGATGATGATGATGATGATGATGATGATGATGATGATGATGATGATGATGATGATGATGATGATGATGATGATGATGATGCTGATGCTGATGCTGATGCTGATGCTGATGCTGATGCTGATGATGCTGATGCTGATGCTGATGCTGATGCTGATGCTGATGGTGATGGTGATGGTGATGGTGGTGGTGGTGGTGAGGTGGTGGTGATGGTGATGATGATGATGATGATGATGGTGGTGGTGGTGGTGAGGGTGGTGGTGGAGATGATGATGATGCTGATGATGATGATGATGATAATGATGGTGGTGATGGTTGTGGTGGTAAGGGTGGTGGTGGTGGTGGTGATGATGATGAGGATGAGGATGATGATGATGCTGATGATGATGATGGTGGTGGTGGTGAGGGTGGTGGTGGTGGTGATGATGATGATTATGATAATGATGATGGTGGTGGTGGTGGTGAGGGTGATGGTGGTGCTGGTGATGATGATGATGATAATGATGATGATGATGGTGGTGGTGATGATGATGGTGATGATGATGATGGTGGTGGTGATGGTGATGATGATACTGATGAGGATGATGATCAGGATGATGAGGATGATGATGAGGATGAGGATGAGGATGATGGTGATGGTGATGGTGATGATGATGAGGATGACGATGACGATGACGATGACGATGATGATGCCGATGATAATGATGCTGGTTGTGATCATGATGACGATATGACGATGATGATGCTTTTGATGATGACGATGCTAATTCTTATGATAATGCGGATGATGCTGATGATGATGGTGATCATGCTGATGATGCTAATGATGGTGCTGATGATGCTGATACTGATGATGATGATGATGATGATGATGGTGATGGTGAAAGTGATGATGATGATGATGATGATGATGATGGTGATGGCGACGGTGATGATGATGATGTTGATGTTGGCGATGTTGCTGATGATGCTGATGATGATGATGATGATGATGCTGACGATGACGATGACGATGATGATGACGATGATGCTGGTGGTGGTGATGATGCTGATGATGATGATGATGATGATGATGCTGATGATGATGATGATGATGATGATGATGATGATGATGATGATGCTGATGCTGATGCTGATGCTGATGCTGATGCTGATGACGATGATGCTGATGATGATGATGCTGAGGAGGAGGAGGAGGAGGAGGAGGCAGAAGGCGGAGGAGGGGGAGAGGAAGATGGGAAGGAGGAGACAGAGACTGACGAGGAAAAGGATCTGCAGGGGGAGGAGGAGCAGGAGGAGGAGGAGGAGGAGGAGGACGAGGGGAGTTAGGAGGAGGAAGAGGAGGAGGAATATGAGGAGGAGGAGGATGAGGAGGAGGAAGAGGAAGTGGGAGGAGTGGGGAGAGGAGGGGAAGGGGGAGGAGGAGGGACGACGCTGCCGATGAGGCGGATGAAGAAGGACGCGGTGGTGTTTGCGAAGGTGAAGAGGAGGAGAGGAGGAGGAGGAGGAGCAGGCGACCCGCGCTGGGGGGGAGGGAGTGCGTGAAGAAGAAGGAGGATGCAGAGTTGGTGGGAGGGGTCGGAAGAGGAGGAGGAGGAGGAGCAGGAGGAGGAGGAGAAGGAGGAGCGCACATCCCCGATAAACACTGATTCGTTATCCAAGACTGACGGGCAAAGAGCTGTCCCAGTAGATGCGGCCAATGCTTAAGCACATTATGTTTAGCGCTGCATGCTGCCGGGGCTTCTGCTACCAGTCATCCGACCGCTTCGCGCAATCCACCGTCTCATACGGTATCATCTGTGCCATTTGCCAGTGTGTTTGCGGATATCGGAAAGTTCCCAAGCACTTAGGCATTCCCGGGGGCTTCCGCGGGGCGCATATTCGGCCATCTTGAGATGTCTTTGTGATCCGTTTGGCTCTGCGCTATCTCTTGCCACCTCGGGGCCACCATCTCACCAACTTGCGTCGTCTAGGGATTCTTTCTGGGGCATCTTGAGGCCTGTTCCCGATGGACCTGCGCTCTTAGGCCGTTCTTGGGCCACCTTGCGTCGGTCATCCAAAGGTCTTCTTGGGGAGGTCTCGGTGCTCTCTTAGGGCCTTCGTGAGGCTCGTTTGCCCCCCCTGGGACCCTAGACGCCCGTTGGGGCCGTAGAGGCGAACGACAAACCATCAGCAACCACACGCATGAGGTTCCACGGTTGTTGCATCGTGGGAGCCTCTGATGGCATGTTTTTTTCTGCTATATTGGGCCGTCTTGGTGTCCGTCAGGCTGTCTTGTACTATAATCGGCCATCTCGGGGGTGTCTTGGCAACGTATCAGGGGCTTTCCAGGGCATGACACGCATTGACCCGCGCTCCTGGGGCGCTCTTGGTCCCTCTTGGGGCGCTCTTGGCAAGACGGCCCCAAAACGGCCCACGAGGGTCCCAAGACGGCCCCAGAGAGCCCCAACAGGCCCCCAAGAGAACCCCAAGGCGGCCAAAGCCACCCAAGACGGGCCCCAAAGGGCCCAGCACGGCCACCGATGGCCCAAAGGCGGCCCAAGAGGGTCCCCAAAGGACCCTCACGAAGGCCTGGAGACGCCCAGTTCAATGAGTTTCGCAAGGTTCTTGCTGAATATTTCTTCCATCGCGTAACAAACTCTAAACACCAGGGCTCCGAACCATGGACGGTGGTGTGGCCCTCGGGCCTCACTACGGCACAGCGACGGTCAAAGCTTTGACGCCAAGGCTCCTGCCCCCAGACGGCCCAGTGACGGACGCAGCTTTGACGCCCAGGCTCCCAAGAGCTCACAATGACGTGACAAGCTCTTAACACCAAGGCTCCAAAGAGTGAACGGTACCATGAACCATCTCGGGCTAGTTCTTCTGATGCTGACGGCGATGATGTTGATGACGATGGCGATGACGATGGTGATGCTGATGATGATGCTGATGATGAGGATGCTGGTGATGATGATGGTGCTGATACTGATGATGGTGCTGATGATGCTGATGACGATGATGACGGATGTTGCTGGTGATTGTGAGGCTTACTATGTTGATGTGCTTGTTGTTGTTGTTGTTGATGATGTGGTTGTTGATTATTGTTGGTGGCAATGACACTGCTGATGCTGCTGATGCTGTTGCTGTGATTGGTGCAGATGTTAATGCTGATATTGATGATGCTGACGATGAGGATGCGTATGCTGCTGCTGATGGTGAAGATGTTGCTGATGATGATGCTGAATAAGCTTACGATACTGGTGCTGCTGCTGATGATGATGCTCTTGATGCTGATGCTCATGATGCTGCTGCTGCTCATGATGCCGCTGAGGATGATGATGTTGTTGATGATGATACTGATATCGCTGATTATGCTGATGATGCTAATGCTGATGTTGTTGATGACGATGATGCTGATGATGCTGATGATGCTGATGATACTGATGCTGTTGTTGGTGATGGTGATACGATAAGGTTGATGCTGCTGATGATGATGATGATGCTGATGCTGATGATGATGCTGATGATGGTGTTGATGATGATGATGATGATTATTATGTTAATGATCGTCGTAGTTGTAAAAGTCGCCAGGTACAGGAAGTAGGCGGAGGGCAGAAGACAGCCCCTGGGTGTAGTGACCGGGCTGCCTGGGTGTCGTGACCGGGCTGTCATCCGTCGTAGGTGCAGGGACTGGGCTGCCTCGCAGGATGAACGTGGGAACTGGACTGCTTCCTTCGGGCCTCTTTGATATCCTGGGGATAACGCAGTGAAAAGTTCTGGACGCCAAGGCTCCGAAGAGCAAGCAGTGACGTAAATAGCTCCTGAAACCAAGGCTTCGAACAGCGAGCGGTACCATGAGCCATTTCGGGGCAATTTTGCTCTGTCCGCTCTTGCCGTTCCCGTGCTGGCTTTAGGTTCTAACACGCCGTTGGCCCTCTGTGCCAGTGAATTTGACTTCTATCCCTCCAGCACGTTGTATACGTACTCGGAGTGAGGCTGATTCTGCTTAATTGTGATCGATGTATCAGTGAGGCTCTTGGTTTGCCGAAGCAACGTAGTATTTCCATCGGCCCCCAATCCATCCCCTCCCTCTCTCTCCTCTACCTCCACCATTCCCTACCACTCGTCCTCCTCCATCTTCATGGCGATTTGGGCGATGGAAAAAACGACAGGCAAGTGGGCACAGAAAGAGAGAGACAGAGAAAGAGAGAGAAAGAGAGCGAGAGAGAGGAGTATGGAGAACTGCATATATATACACATGTATTCTCATACGCACCTCTCCGAGGGAGTAGAGCTCAGATGCGATTAATGCGCGCGCGTCCGCGATTTTGTCTGGGCGTTTCGCTCGGGACATCCTCGAAATTCTGAAAATCGGTGGCACCCCTCACGCAGATCGTGACGTCAGGGTCCAAAACCACATGGGAATTTCAACATTTTAACATAAAACCTTCAAACACACATGGTAATTTCAATAATTGTGACCCCGATTCTCAGGGAATGGCGGTTTCGCTTGAACAATCTTTCCAAAATCGAGCCCCAGACCCCGCCTCGGAGCCTCCTGGGGGTCTCCTGGAACCTCCTGGGGCCTCCTGGGGCTTTCTGAACCTTCTGGCACCCCAGACCCCGCCTCGGAGCCTCCTGGGGGTCTC